GAGAAATAAGAAGAGCCATCGTTGTCGGCTTATTTAACAGGGAAGTCTTAGTCTAAATCAATCCACGACAATGCTTTTAAGACAATAAACCTTAACTTTGCTTGAAATAACAATATCGTTCTTCATTCAGTCAAACTCAACATTATGGCTTCACTGAACTTTGTCATTGAAATGCATGTGTAGTTTGAAATGTGTGTCTGTTAAAATTGTACAGTTGATACCGAATATATCCAGCCTTTTTCTTCTTCGTTCAGTTGCTTTTCTTTCTGGATTTCTTTTCTTATCTTTTGTCAATCCAAGAACAAGTGTTGTATCCCCAAGATAGGTTGCTAACCCCAACTATAGAGCCTCATCTACACGGGAGATTGAACTCAGGACTTCTCGGTTTAGCAACCACGAACTTTACAAGTTCTTGATTTTGGTATTGGCGTGTCAGTTTTCTTCTTTATTTAGTCGACATCTAAAGTTAAACAAAAACAGTTGCCTACCTCAGCAAAAGTCAATGTATGCCAATTATGGCCAGTGTAGCAATTAGCAACATCAAAGTTGATTTGGATTCCATGCAACACTCATTCCATACTTCTCTAGTGTGGAGGTCTTTATTATTAATATTATCCTGTTTGTTTGATACTTTTCTTTAACTTAATAATAATAAACATAGGTACTTTTTGCCTGGAGTACAAACTGGGTCACAGTATTCTCTGGTAAACAATTAAGTTATTTTCCAAAAATGTGCTCAGCTAATAGAAACAGCTTTCCTAGATTGTTTTATTTTTATTTTATTTTTGTTTTTTTTAAAGGGCTTCAACTGTTTTAATGTCAAATTGTGCTGGGAATACTATAACTACATACTACACTTTTCAGCTTTCAATCACTCGCATCTTATGTACACAGTAAGAAAACCAAATACATCAAATTTTGCGAAAAAAATTAGTTATGCATATAAAGCCAAAAATGAATATATCAGGATTATTGCAATTATCGCCATTTGCAGATTCTTGTTTAACTATGGTAGATGGAAGTATTAGTTGCCTTCACATCACTTTTCACTTCCTGAAACAAAACAAAATGATTTTCTTAAAAATCCATCTGAAATAATAACATTAGCAAAAAAAAATTAAAAGCTATATAATATCAGGATCGCGTAAGTTAGGAAGGTTTTCTATAATACATATATGTAACGAAGTATAAAAGTGCTAAATATCTATATCAGACAAGGTTGCAAAGTATTTCATCTTATAGCTTGTATACTTCCCGGTGATTGTTCCCTTTGAGAACTTATCTGCGTCACTTCGACATGTTACACGTCAAACTCCCTAACTTACTAATGTCTGTATATATATATATATATATATATATATATATATATATATATATATATATATGTGTGTGTGTGTGTGTGTGTGTGAGTGTCTGAATCGGCCTACATAGGACTATAATTTAAATAAATGCCATATATGCGTACATGTGTGTTTTTAAGCTTTAATCACTGCAATATAATAGTAATAGTAACAGTAACGATGTTTATCTATAGCCTGTTAATAATACAGTTTAATGTAGCATTGTTATGTTTATAGTTAGCACGTTACGTCATGGTGTCACCCTCACCTCATGTAATCATTGTTGATATAATTTTTAAAGGCTATTTAGATTTTATTAATTATTAATTGAAATGGCAAAAAAAAGCATTTTTCTTATGTAAAGTTTGCGATTTTTTGCCTTGGTGTCAGCCCCCCCCCCACAGCCCCCCCTTCAAATTTTGTCACCCGGTGCTGTCTGCAACCCCCCCCCCCCCCCCCCACCCGGCCTCTGATTCCAAGCGTTCAATACATGAAACTACTTTCTTTCAGGACTTTCAGTTATCACTTGCCAGGAAAGAATTTCAGACATTATTTCCAGGTGTTTCCAGATAAGAAAGAAGGCTTCTTACTAAAGATGGATGGGATAAATTTATATAATTAGTAAGTGATTAGTTTGATGGATGGGTGGATAAATGCAGATCTATATATGGACTGATTAATCGAGGGATGGATACATGTATTTATGAATTAACGGATGAATTTATGGATGAAGTTATTGATGGAGTTATGGATAAATTTATCGATGAATTGATGAATGAATTTATAGATGAATTTGTGGATGGATTTTTGGATGGATTTATGGATGGAGTTATGAATGGAGTTATGGATGGATTGAGGGATGGATTAAAGGATGGATTTATGGATATATTTATGGATAGATTTATGGATGGATTTAATTATGGATTCAGGGATGGATTTAGGGATAGAGTTAGGGGTGGATTAAGGAATGGATTAAGGGATTGATGGATGAATCTCTATGGAAAATAGTTAAGTAAAAATAAATTAGAGTCAGAAATATTTTATTTTTATGTCGAAAAATCTTTATTGTAACTGGACCCATTTGTGCCCAAATTTACTGCTTCAGCGCTGCCGTGGATGTGTCTACAGAACTCAATGGCACGATGTTGGAGGCGAACATCAAGTTTCGTGTGATGGCGTTTGGTACGACAGACGGTGCGATTCTTTACTATCATCATGGTGTAAATCCTAGGCTAGTGGTTCAGGTTAGTTCGTCAATAGCGCACTCACTGTGGTGTGTTTACGTATGTGTAGGGGAATGTTGAAATGTGTGTAGGGGAATGTTGAAATGTGTGTAGGGGAATGTTGAAATGTGTGTGTTCAAATGTTGTGGTGCGTTGAAATATATGGGGTGTTGAAATGTGTGTGTTGAAATATATGGGGTGTTGAAATGTGTGTGTTGAAATATATGGGGTGTTGAAATGTGTGTGGGGATGTTGTGGTGTGTTGAAATATTTGGGTGCAATAAAATATGTTTTAAAACTTCTTCTAGTGCAAGTGCTGGCGCCATTTATATCATACCAGGAACACCTGAGATCAAAGACCCTATGAGGACAAAACACCTGAGATCAAAGACCCTATGTGGACAAAACACCTGAGATCAAAGACCCTATGTGGGCAAAACACCTGAGATCAAAGACCCTCTGCTGAGAAAACACCTGTAGTCAAACCCTCTATGGTCAAACCACCTATGCTCAAAGCACCGCTATGGTCAAACCTCCTATGGTCAAAGCACCTGTGGTCAAAGGTCCGCGCACCCCATTTATAACATATCCGGAGGCAATAAAACTTAAACTGCGGATATAATGTATCAAAAAGGAAGCCCCGCACTCCCACCCCGGGAGGGGGGGGGGATTGGACAGTTGAGGCCTGCCATAATTGGGTCGATAAACACCTGACGCGTCAGCTGCAGAGTCGATGAGTTTGCACCGTATGACCCTCTAGGTCTCGACTTGTCATCCGTTTTTTTTTTAATTTGTTAATTTCCAATATAAAAACACATCACTCTGTGGCATCCACAAAGTCTCGATTAGCCATGTTTCTACTTCCTCTGTAAACACTGAACTCGATGTAAAACTCTAGAACCTCAAAGTCTCGAATAGCCATGTTTCTACTTCCTCTGTAAACACTGAACTCGATGTAAAACTCAAATTCTCGATTAACCATGTTTCTACCTCCCATTGAAACACAGGACTCGATCGAAAACCTCAACTACCACGGCAAGTAGGCAGAGGTGCAGCTAGTCGGGTGCCGACCTTAGGGGCGCCGAACGTGGTAGAAAACAAGCGTAAAAAAACAAAAAAATTCATCTGCATTACTAAATTATACACAGAGGAAATAGACCGTTCATCAGTTTTACGGACTTATTTCACAGCTTTCTACATCAATTGTGTGACACCAATATAAAAAAACTTTAAGAGACAATAACTTTCTAAACTGGAATGGGGGTGGTGTGGGGGGTGCTTTTTTGCCAAAGCCACGGTAAATAACTATATGAATGGTGGGGGTGCAAAGTTGATATTTCGACCTGGAAAGGGTCGCTTCGCCTCTGCAAGTAGGCCGGGATAGCTAAAGATTTAAAGAGACCAGCATTTAACTACTACAGCTGCATTTGTATTGAATCAACAACTATAGGTAAGTATGGAAAGGAAATCAAATGGTATGACATGTCAACGTGGTCGGGTCGGTAATGCCCATGGTTGCTGAACAGAAAGTCTCGAGTTAGATCTCCCGGTCAGATGAGGGTCGATAGCTGGGGACAGCAACACATCTAAGAGAGAAAACTCCAATTAAAAAACAACTGCTTCTTGTTGTTTGTTCTTGGTTTGACAAAATATATGGAAGGAAATCCAGAAAGAGAAGCAGGCTAAAATCAGAGTCAGCGGCCTATTAGACGCATTAAAATGCTAAAATTCCAACACGATTATTAAAAACAAAAAAGAAATAATTTCGGAAAAAATATAAGGAAAATTAAAATCTGAAACACATTTTTATAATGGATACTCCGATCCTCATTCCGTCATCTTTCTTAGCTTGTTACGTGTTCGGTAGTTCGGACTTTTTCTCTTTACAAACTAACCCTTGTTAGGAACAGACACAAATGATTTCCCGTATTTTTAAATTGCTCTCATCTACCACATGTGGTATCTTTATCATGTAGAGTATTGTAGAGGCATCCGCTACACACCTGTTCATAAACTTGACAAACTGTCACACACTTTCATCGCTTTCAACAGCCCCTAGAACCTTCTAAACGAATTTTTAGCAGTTACCTGTCAAAGTTGACTCAGCTTTTGTGCGTGGCGGTTTTTTTTTTCCAATTTGACATTGATGTTTTTATTGAACCTAAAGCTCCTCTATAGAAAGATGTAAAGCCTGGGTGGATTAAAAGGGACACGACTGTGTATGATGTAGTAAAAAAGGGAATTAAGGTAATACAGTAATCATTTCGCGAAATATTCAGTGGACGCACGAACAAACGCTCAACCCTCGGTTATTAAAGTATAATTAGGCCTGATTAATATGCCAAAGACATAATGGCATAGATCAAACACGTTTTAGACTGAAAAAATGGTAATTGACGTCATAATTTTAAGGATCAAAATAGTTTTAGACTCAAAATTGAGTTTTTTAAGTGTTTTTATTTTAATCTGTTGGATAAGGGTCTGAAAAAACAATTTTCCTTCACAAATATTCATCACACTAATTATTCTATTTACATATACGCCTACGTGAAACACAATTACCGTTTTGGATAGTGTGACTGCTACTTACAGCAGTATATAGATCTAATAATTTTCATCAGACAAACTATTAGGAAAGCTACAATTCCTCGGACGTAGAACACGATTGGACACCTCGAGTGAGTACTGTATAGTAAGTAATTTAGAACACGTGAATTAGTTACTATAGACCATTCGCGAACTAAATCTAATGACACATTGTTTGTTAACTAAAGAACATTCGCAAATAAAATCTAACTACACATTATTATGTAGCTAGAGAACATTCGCAAACTAATTTTTTTTTATAGTAATTTAAGAACATTCGCAGACTTTATTTTTTTTTGACTGATTTTATTTAAGATTGTGTGTATTTGATGTGATACTATTTTTGGCAACTAAGCGCAACGCTTTCTTTGCTTATAATTTAACAGTGAAAATGACGTAAATTAGGGCTGAAACTAATCATGAAATCCGTCATGTGGTTTACATTGTTTTTTTCTTTAATTGTATCGGCAAAGTTTGATAAATTATTCCTGTAAAGTAGGGTTCAGAATATCTATCACGGATTTCCTGTGCAACCAATCAATGTTTCTCAAATGAAAGAAAAACTTCAGATTTGATGAAACATTTAAACATAAATAGAAATGATGCCTTACACTAAACAAATATTTTTGAGTTCTCTGGATTTGCAACTTTGATAACAAATGATTCAAAAAACAATAATTTAAAATTTCTAAATAGTTTTCATGTTTAAGTTTTTTTTTATATTTACATTATTTACCGCCACATTGGTGGCAAAATTAAATAAACCGGGAATGATCTCCCCTAAACGTTCTCGAATATTCTTATATAACTCTACGGGGGATGGCAACTAGGGATTGTTTTTAATCCATTTTTAATTGATTAAACTTTTTAAAATAGATTAGCATCTCGTAGAAAGAAAAGAATTGCGCACCAAGTGAACGGCAAACAATATATGTATAATAGTGAGGAATATTATTAGTACGTAATAAATTTATAAGCGTTTTTCGACAAAAAGGGAAATAGGGAAATTTACTACTTCCGGTCAACGGAAATTGCACACAATTTGACATAAGGTAGAAAATTAGAACTTTTACTTATATGTGAAATTTCTTTATCTCTCTTAAACAGTACTAAAGTTATAGGCTTTTGAAAATATGAAAGTAGAGTTAGTCACTCTTCCGGTTATCGGAAATCGCTGAAAAATTGAAAACGAACTACACATTTGATATAATATTTATAGGTGAAATTTCATCAACCTAGCTGTAAATGTACTCAAGTTATTGTGTTCACACACACACACACACACAAACATACACACACATGGGCTGAATTGCAATGTCGTGTTTTTGCGACTCTATTACGCGTAAAACACCGATTTTCGCCAAATTAAAATAAGTCCCCTATACTCCGCACGTGATAAAGTACTTTGAAGTAAAACGGTGAAAACTGTTAAATTGCATGTGGTTTTTTGTGGAAATAAAACAACAACATGTTTTTTATTAAATAAAAAAATAATGATTGTCAAACTTGACTGCACCCATTGAAATGCTTATGCTAATAAAGCGGGAGTGATCTCCCCTAAAAATTTCTCGATTATTCTTATATTGCACAACGGGGGATGGCAACTCAGAATATAGACATGATTTTTAATATGTTTTTATTACTTAAAATTTAAAAATAGAATCTCGTTGGAAAAAAAAAGAATTGCGCACCATTTTAACGGCAAGCCGTATCTGTCTAAACGTACGGAATAATAGTACTTTATAAATCCATAAGATTTTTCTTCGAAATCGGAAATCGCGTAAATTACTACTTCCATTCAACGGAATTTACTCACAATTCGACAAAAGGCAGAAAATTGGATTTTTTACTTACATGTGAAATTTCATTTATATATCAAAAACAATACTCAAGATATAGGCTTTTGAAAAATGGAAATTAAAATAAGTTCCACTTCCGGTTATCGGAAATCGCTGAAAATTTTTTACAGAACTACAAATTCGATGTAATACTAATAAATTAAATTTCATTAACCTAGCTGTAACGATACTTAAGTGATCGTCTTCACAGATACACATACACATACATACATACACACATACACACACAGACATACGGACAAAGTATACGAGAAAGTAAAAAATACTGAGAAGATTATTGTGCCAGCGACCGTCTTCTTGTTGTATTCTTGTAAATGAGATAATGAATTTCGGCTTGCAGCACCAACATGTCTCCCCTGTGGGTACTGCTTCTACTGCCAACCTTGACCTACGCTGGGGTCACAGAGGACGCGACCCGTTTGTTCCAGTCGTTCGACACCAACGGAGACGGTAAACTGGAACCGGAGGAGTTTTTTGTTTACATGCGGGTATGAACTTTGCACTCTCCACATAAAACATGCAATATAGCGTCATAAGTCTGAGGCGAGAGGGTCGGGGTGCTTCCTCTTCCCCCCCCCCCTCACGTGGACATCTTTTATGGGGTCACGCCTAATAGAAAACGCGTAAAAACTACTGTCAACACAAAGTTTATTCAAGTAAAAACATAAATATAATAGTGCAGGGGGTTAGACCAAATCAACAGAGGCGTAGCGAGGGGGGGCGGGGGTTTGCGGACCGCACCGGGTGACACAATCAATTTAGAGGGGTGACACCAATGCAAAAAGAGCAAAATATAAAGAGAAAAACTTGAAGGGGGGGGGGGGGTGCAAATCGAAAATTCGACGGGGGGGGGGGGGTGCAAATCAAAAGTTTAAAAGTTTGTCCTACGCCTCTGGGGGGGGGGGGGTGACATTATTAATTGCCGCACACGGGGACACCCAACCTCGCTACGCCAGTGCAAACCAAAAATTATTAGAGGGGTTTGATGGTGGCAACCCTTAATATGGCTAGTAAGTCTTGGTCTCTCTCACATAAAACTCGAGAGCACGTTAGCCAGGAGGAGACATACAGCCGCAATAGTGAAGCTAGTGATATGCACTCTCAAATCTTCAATTTACTCACACTCGCATATTTTATTCTCTCTCATATTTTGATCTATCTCATATTTTATACCCTCTCGTATTTTATACGCTCTCATATTAACATATATTATAATCTCATATTTTAGTTTCATATTTTATAATTTCGTACTTTATTATTTCATATTTTTATCATGTCATATTTTATACTCTCATACTTTATAATCTCTCATATTTTATACTCACTCATATTTTATACCCTCTAGTATTTTATACTCTCTCATATTTTTTATATTTATAATCTCTCATATTTTCAGTTTCATATTTTATAATTTCATATTTTATTATTTTATATATTTATCATGTCATATTTTATAATCTCACATTTTAAAATATCTCATATTTTATACTCTCTCAATTATTCTCCTTCTACTACTATATACAATACTAGCCGTCCCGGCACGGCCCTGCTCTGGCTTCTGTGAAAAACCTTTCTGTTAAAGACCATTACCTGTGTGTTTAGTAATCATCATAAACCCGGCATTGCCCACCCAAACCACAACCAACCAAAACAACAAAACGCAAACATAACGCTAACACAATTACAAATACAAACGAAAACAAAAACCTAACAACAAACGCAACTACAACCACAAACACCAAAACAAACACAAAGAAAAAAAAAACAAAAAAGCAAACGAAAACAAAAACCTAACAACAAACCCAACCACAAACACCAATACCAACAAAAAAAAACAACGAAAAAGCAAACAAAAACAAACCAAATCCAAACGCAAAACCAACCAAAAACACAAATACAAACCCAAACAAAAAAACATAAACAAAAACGAAAAAAGAAAGAACAAAAACGAACCAAATCAAAACGCAACCACTAACGCAAACCAACCTAAACACAAACAAAACACTAACGCGAACATAAACGCCCGGGGCGGAATCACCTGTTTTAGCTTAATGAACGACTATAGTACCCCAACGTATTCATACTCTTTTGCACTCACTTAAAAGAACGCGCCTGTTTCAATTTGATGAACAGTTATAATACTCCAAGCTTATCCGTAAAATACCTACAACATTTGCACTTGATCAATCCCCGCTTATTATGTAATTATTTTTTTTTCCCAACACCAAAACAAAGTAATTAAAAAGTAAATTATTTTCCACAAAATGCAATGGTTTTATAAAGGGAAGTAATTGTGTTTTCCTAATTTATCAAAGGGAAGTAAGTGCTATAGGACTAAATAAAGACATAATTAGAATTGTTGTAAAAGGTGATATTTTTTAAAAACTTGTGTTTAATGAACATGCCGAAAATTATTACTATAATTTGAAAAATGAAAATTTTTTCCCAACACTTTCAAAAGTAATTTTTTAACTCATAAATTTAGACAAATGCGCACGATAATCGTCTAACACTTAAATCCATCCAAGACCAACGACAAACATATGCGTTACATACAGAACTGAGCTTTATATATTAGATTATTTCCCATCTTATACTAGGTGTTTAATCATCCCCAATGTTTATTTATTTATGTGTCTTGTATATAAAATTATGTGTATGTATGCATTCCCACCCCCCCCCCCCAGTGAGTTTGTATCGTTCACACATACTTTGTATGCACAACTACCAATGCATTGGTACTATTGCACAGGCTTTCGATATCGACCATGATGGAGGCATGTCCCTAGCCGAGAAACAAAATATGATCAACTCTTTTGTTCCTGCCCTGGTCAAGTACGTGGCCCCCCGTTTCAATGAGGTTGACCTGAACAAGGACGGCAAGCATGACGAAGCAGAGATGTACCAGACGCTTCTATTCATGGACACCGACAAGAGCGGCTTTGTTGACAGGCCGGAGTTTGTCAAGTAGAGTTAATTTTTACAAGCTTTTAGTTAACTTGCTTCCTCTGTCTGTTGTCAGTCTAAACTCTAGACAGAAACGCCCGAGGGAAATGTCGGGTACTTCTAACACATTCGTTTCAAAGTTGTCACGTGGGTCAAGACCTGAAAACAATGTAATCTGAAATTAAATTTGATTTAATCGGATGACTAATTAATTTTTATGAATAAATTAAAAATTGTGTACACATTGGTTGGCTGTCTTACCAAAACATTTAATTTTCCTTTTAAGTGAAGATTACATAAAAGCTTGTTATTAAAACGTGGTTTATATTTTTTTTTGTATATAAACTTCAATGCTACTTTATATAGAATGTGTCTAAGACAAATATTCTACTTAAGCTAGAATTGCGTTTACTTATACTCGACTCAGAAGACAATGCAAATAGGTCTTATTTTAAATATATATCTTTTTAAATTATTTAATTAAAAATAAATTTCAATTTTCATAAATTCAATAACAAAAGGAGAAATAACAAGATTAAAAGCTAGCTAGTTGTAATTTCTAAAACATTAAAAAACAAAAAACAAACTAAAAAATATAAATGTTTCATTTGTATTTACTTTCACAACAATACTTTTTTGCCTAGTCACATTTATAAAATGTAATTATGTTTTTCTTTTTGCAGATTTATCGAATATATCTCAAGTTACAAGATCTAGATCTTCTTAGTTCCTGATAATAGCAATGATAACCCTCTACTATAAAAAAATATAAATTTTGAATGTGAAAATAAAGCTTCTTAAAAGCACTTATTTTTTATTTGCACAGATTTTGTTGTAAATATTTTCTGCGAGATAATGACTTGTTATTTATTGAATGAAATTTATCACAAGTCAATTATTAGTGACATATTTTTTAACTTAGAAAGGTTCCAGTCGACATATGTGCAGAGTTTCTTCCAGGAATCTCTTCGAAAAATTTTTACCGCCCCCCGATCGAAATGAAATTCATATAAATTATATAGAAAATATATACTTTTAACAGTGTCCGCCCCCCCCCCCCCCGAAGAAAGTCTACCGCCCCCCCCCCCCCCCCCAAATTCCAAGTGTCCCCCGGAGAAAAAAGTCTGGAAGAAACACTGCATATGTGGAAGGTCAACGAAGCTACAAGTCAGTTAAACTTGTGGTTGCTGAACCGAAGCGTCCCGAGTTCGAACCCCTGGGCAGATGAGGCTTGATAGATGGGGACAGCAACTCATCTAGGTGAGACAACACGACAATGAAACATGTAGTTTGTTCGGTAGTTAGACAAAGGCGATAGAAGCTAATACAAAAAAGGGATGGTCTATGTTGAGTATAACAGGCTGTCAACACACACATACACATATGTATGTAGGCTGTCAACACAGTAACCATATTATCCATACACATATGTATGTAGGCGGTCAACACAGTAACCATACTAACCATACACATATGTATGTAGGCTGTCAACGCAGTAACCATACTAACCATACACATATGTATGTAGGCTGTCAACACAGTAACCATACTATCCATACACATATGTATGTAGGCTGTCAACACAGTAACCATACTATCCATACACATATGTATGTTGGCTTTCAACACAGTAACCATACTATCCATACACATATGTATGTAGGCTGTCAACACAGTAACCATACTAACAATACACATATGTATGTAGGCTGTCAACACAGTAACCATACTATCCATACACATATGTATGTAGGCTGTCAACACAGTAACCATACTAACCATACACATATGTATGTAGGCTGTCAACACAGTAACCATACTATCCATACACATATGTATGTTGGCTTTCAACACAGTAACCATACTATCCATACACATATGTATGTAGGCTGTCAACACAGTAACCATACTAACCATACACATATGTATGTAGGCTGTCAACACAGTAACCATACTATCCATACACATATGCATGTAGGCTGTTAAAACAAAATCCATACACATATGTATGTAGGCTGTCAACACAGTAACCATACTATCCATACACTTATGTATGTAGGCTGTCAACACAGTAACCATACTATCCTTACACATATGCATGTAGGCTGTTAAAACGAAATCCATACACATATGTATGTAGGCTATCAACACAATAACATACTATCCATACACATATGTATGTAGGCTGTCAACACAGTAACCATACTATCCATACACATATGTATGTAGGCTGTCAACACAGTAACCATACTAACCATACACATATGTATGAACGGTGTCAAAAAAAAACATACAAACATGCAAGTAGGCTGTCAACACAAAACCATACAAGCAAACAAACATGCATGTAGTCTGTCGACACAGTAACCATACTAACCATACACACATGCTTATCGGATGTCAACACCCCATAGAAATGTGTATTTAGGCAGACATACAGACAACATACACATTTACTTCCATACGCACGCTCTCCCACCGCCCCCTGTAGTAAGATTAAAACATAGAACGTTGCTGGGGGGGGGGGGTGGGGGGAGATAAGGGTTGGGTGGCTTGTGGGCATGGGGAAAACTTATTGACACATTGAATTAGAAAAAAATTCAGACGGGGGGGGGGGGGGAGGAGGGGGGGGGGGGCGGTGGGAGAGCGTGCGTATGGAAGTAAATTTTAGGGGGCAGATAATTCAGTTTTTTAAAGATTTGAAACTAAGGGGAAACAATAAAAATATTATGGTTTCTATTTTCATTGTTGCATGTAAACTGTTCAAGCATTTCACAAGCATCTATAACCCTTTATCCTGCTGTGAGTTTTTCGCAATAGAACCCCCTCCCCCCTCCACCCCAGGTAAACATATTTTTAAAAAACATCTTAAAACCGAGTTGTGCCACTTTATCTTAGTATAAGAATATTATAATGAAACGTTCGCCAAATTGATAAAACGATTACGAATAAATATTCTTTTGAAAAAAGTAGAATTATACCAACTATTTATCTATCTATGGGTATTACATTGGGGTTCCCATACCGTGTGGGATGGGTGAACGGAAAAAAAGTCACCAGAACTGTGTAGAGTTAATTTTGACGAGTGCGGAATTCACTCTTTCGGAACGTTAAATTTGTCAATTTCCTCCCCCGCCCGTGTGGTAGATAAACTGAGTTAAACTGTTTCAATGACCACAGCTTACAGGGAAAAAGTGTGGGGAGAGTGGGTTGAATACGGGGTTGGGTATTTCATTTATGGGGGGGGGGATGGGGTGGCGTAACTTATTATTTCGATTGTAGGAAAAAAAGTCACAGGAAAAAAAACACAGAAAAAAAGTCACAGGAAAAAAAGGGACAAATGTATATTTGCATGGAATTTCTTAATACTTTTATGTATTATGCTAATTAGTTTACAATTCAATTAAATGTAATGTAATCATTTTAGATATATATGAGTAAATCGTATAGATATAGTAATATTTATAACACACATAAAAGATTTTAGTATACAGTTGTAGTTTTGTATTTGTAATTCTTTTTTGCAATATAATATTATACAGAATTTAATACAATTTTAGACCATCTCAGTTTCAAAAGTGATTGTTTGTGATTGGTAGTAAAGCCCCCCCCCCCCCCCCCACGAACGAAATGAAATTTAGATAATTCATATACAAAATATATACTTTTAACAGTGTCCGCCCCCCAACCCCCCCCCCCCCCCAAAGAAAGTCTACCGCCGGCCCCCCCCCCCCTCCAAAAAAATTTCAAGCCCCCTCCTTCCCCCGGAGAAAAAAGTCTAGAAGAAACACTGGTTGAAAGTATAACAAATCTTAAATTCACATATTTGAAGGATTAATAGTTCTGGAAAACTGAATGGGATGGGGCGAGAGGGGGGAGGGAATTAACGTTCACCTATGTCCACAACTCCGCGATTATCGACTAATCGGTGGAGGTGGGGGAGATTGGGTGGTTGTGGTAAATCGTCAAGGGAATGGAGGGGGGGGGGGGGGGTTGCAGAGCCTGAGAAAACGTAATTAATGTGACATAATGCCTCAACTCATTGCAGCAATAGCAAAGCCAAATCAGGAGAAGCCGAAAAAAAAAACAAAAAAAAAAGCAAAACATGATGTGCCTAAACTTCTTTTATTATTAACATTTCTAGAGCGTATTTAACATTTTTTCATAGGTTGAGGTTGCTGTATAAATTAGGCCTACCTAATAGTATTTTACTTGTTAGTGTTATAGACCATACAGATACTAGTAGCAAAAAAAATGAAAAAGAAGACACCTATTAACGCACAAAATTTTTCGATCCTCAACAATTACAATGAAAATCAAAATACTTGTTATAAGACATTTTGTGCCTTTTTTTGTGACTTTATTTCTGTGACTATTTTATCCAAATGTATTTTCCTGTGTACATTTTTTCTGTGGCATTATATCCTACCAAAAAAACTTTCTTTTTAATTTTTTTTCCTGTGACTTTTTTAAGCGCTGATGTATGTATTTTTAAACTATTTGGGCTCAGCGGGACTTAGATTTCGAAAAATCAACAGTTTTTTAAATGAAGTCGTCCATATATTTTTTAATATGGGTTGAAAAAAGCAACTCATCTATGCGATCACAGATGTATGTATTTTTAATCTATTTGGGCTCAGCGGGTCTCTATACCACCTCTTTATTCCATGCCCTAGTTGACCTTTTTGTTACTAACCGAGAGATAAGAAATTTGGCAGAGTACGAGTTGTAGGGGAAGAATGTAAATTTTACCAATACCTTGACGAAAGCTCTGAACCTCCATCAAATAGTTTGATGTAGATTGGCACATAGACGTAGGGGGAGGGGTGTGAGGGGGGTATGGGGTGGGCTGGTAAGGTGATTAACGCACAATAAATCGTATTGCCGTCGAAGCATGATGTATGTGGGTTTTGTAGCGATTGATGTACTAATCCCACAAAAGAAAATGTCGGTGAGTATGGCGCCTGCCTACACGTGGGCTAGACTTTTCTCCCACCCCTTCCCATGACGATTTCCCCCACGCACCCTATCTCCCCTCCCCCCGATTGGGCCATAAGAGAGGAAATGTGGAGAGGGTTGAAACGTTTTTTTTTAATTTGCGAGTCGGAAACTCACTCATGCGAACAGTATAAATGTCCGTTTCCTCCCCCGCCCCATCCCGTTGAGTTTTTCAAACTAGAACTGTTTCAATGACCACATCATACAGGGGAATAGTGTGCTACAACACAAGGGGACATAACTCATTGAGGACAGGGACTGGGAAGGTATCAGCGGTTACCAAGTACAAGGAGGGAAAGGTCGACTACAGAACTTGTCCATGTCATGAATGTGAACACTCGAACACACCCAGAAAAGTTTGGTGGGAAGTTGAGGTGATTACAGCCAGACATGTGGTTTTTGATGAGAGTGAGGCGAGACAGTCCACATGTAGGTTGTGGTTTGATGATGATCAGAGTCCAGTGGTCAACATTTATGGGTGGAGGGTGGGTGGGTCAGACACTAAGGGAGACTGGTGTATGTTGTATTGTGCGACACATGACGTAGATGTAGGTGATAAACTGAAGAATATAATGAGGCGGTTTGATGGTCTACGTAATAAAGTAAGTGACAGATACAAGAGGCGTAGAGATGTGGGCAAGTTAATCATTATAGTGTCACATCCTCATGGCTGTTCTAAGCAGGTCTCTGTTGGTCAATGGATACACATGCAGGGAGAGATGTGGACAAGTTGATCATTATAGTGTCACATCCTCATGGCTGTTCTAAGCATGTCTCTGTTGGTCAATGGATACACACGCAGGGAGAGATGTGGACAAG